CCATTCAAATTTTCATCTTTGTTGTAGCACTCGGTTCCTGGTATGTAATTTATTTTGTTGTATTTTGCATTTTTGGCCTGGGACTCGGTGAGTTGAAGGCCCAACTCGTCGAGTAGGAGTGAGATTGGACACGGGACTTAAGTGATGGACTCGTCGAGTTGGCGACCAAACTCGACGAGTAGGCTCTAACTGGACAAAACCCTAATTTGAGGGTTTGCACCCTATTTAATCATCTCTTTCAGCCACCACTCGTCCCTAATGCTCCCAAAGGCTCTCTATAGCAAACCCTAAGTGTTTTAGAGCAAGAACTAAAGCTTTTGAGTGATTTTTGTGGGTTTTGACCTCAAGGAACAAGGAAGAGCATAGAAGGATCAAGAGGAGACTGAAGGATTCGAGTTTGGTTCATCATTTGCAGTCTTTGAAAGGTATAAAGTCTGTACCTTGCTTGCTTGTTTGTTAGATCCCTTTTTGGGGAAGATTTAGGGCTTATAAGGCATATGAGGTGACCAACCATGATTTGCAAACATATTTGGGGGCCAAGACTTCGAATTTAGCACTTAAGAAGAGTCACAAGGCAGATTTGGGTTGCTTTTGCACCCAAGGAAGGCCCCATGCAACAAAAGAGCCATTTTAAAGCCTTTTTGGCTCAAAAGTCTCATGCATGCACGTAAAGTTCGTAACTTTACGTGCTAGATCGAGCTTATGGGCTTGGATCTATCATTTGGACAAGTGTTGTACATCATAAATCGAGGATTTAGGGTGTAGACGTTATTGACTCGGCGAGTCCGTTCTTGGGACTCGACGAGTCCAAGGCTTTGAGTCCCATATCTGTTGAGGGTCAAAAGAACTCAGTTGGGTGTTAGAAGGGTTATATCAGGATAAAAGGAGTGACCCAACACATTGGACTTAGTTTTAGACCTAGAGTTCATGGGACTCGACGAGTGCTAGAACAGACTCGGCGAGTCCAAGACAATCTTCTTATGTTTGAAGATGAACTCGACGAGTTGTTCATACAACTCGGCGAGTTAAGTTCAGGACTTGTTCATCAGATGAAGGTGAACTCGACGAGTTGTTCATACAACTCGGCGAGTCGGATGAAGGTTCATTGATGTTCGTAAAGAGGGGAACTCGTTGACTCGTTGCCAAACTCGACGAGTCAAGTCATGGATAAGGACGAGTAAAGGGTAGGGACTCGATAAGTTGACGACCCAACTCGGTGAGTCGGGTCATCTAGAATTTGACTTTGACTTGGACTTGGTTGGGGGTAAAATAGTCATTTTACCCTAAGAGTAGATATCAGATTCTGACTGAGTGTTTTGTGGGGATTATAGCCGGAGGATTTCCGGAGCAGCAGCAGACAGAGGTTTCCCGCACAGATTATCAACAGCTACTCATATGAGGTGAGTTACCTTCCAGTAGGGTGGGTCTAAGGCCATAATGCTGACCCACCAAAGAGGAATATTTAGCAGATGATTGTCTTTGTGATAATTATCTTGGTCTGGTTATGTGCCTTGGTTATGAGATTTATCTGTATGATATGTTATGTGTATAGTAAGGATCAGTTTCCCTGACAGTGGTCCTTAGGACCGAAGGGTAGGTCAGTACCCGAATATGCCTGATTGTATGTTTATATCTTGATGTTGTATGCTAGTGGTAGGGGGTGGAATAGTCCCAAGTTACCGGTTGAAAGATATTGATGATGGTTACCGGTTGAAAGATACCGATGATGATTACCGGTTGAAAGATACCGATGGAAGTTACCGGTTGGAAGATACCGACGATGATTACCGGTTGAAAGATACCGATGATATTGTATGGTATGTGGTATGATGGGGAACCCACTAAGCTTTGTGCTTACGATTTCAGTTTTGGTTTCAGGTACCTCTTCGTCTAAGGGGAAGGAGTCGGCGGCGTAGCATCGCATCACACACACACACATAATTCCGCATTGGACTTTCTGGGATTGTACTCTGATTTTCATTATTTTTGATGTCATGGTTTGGGACACAACATTATGATTTTGTAATGTGTTGCTTTACTGACAATGTAATGGTAAAATATTTTAAAAATTATTAATTTAAAAATGAAATTTTCGATCTTAAATTTTAGGATGTTACATTTGTTTTGTTTTGGTTTGTTGCTATTTTAATTTAGTTGTAATGTAATTCCCCCTTTTGTTTTGTTGTCTTTAATTTAACTAGTAATTAGATTGTTCTGAACTAAATTAGATGCATTCGACTATTCCCCTTGAGTTCGACACACGCTCTTACCAAATCTATATTGTTACCGATTAGATCCATTGCATAGTTGTGCATGTCCCCAGTAAAAGTAAATTCAATTTTATAATTTTAAAACGAGATTTGCGCACATCAAGTTTTTGGTTACTGCCATGGGTTTGTTCAAAACACATAATTTGGGTTTGTTCACAACACATCACTGATTGAGTCAAACCTAATAAGAGATCTATCGAAAAGCTATAGGACCGAATTAAATACATCTAATTGTAATATGAAACATTCCAAGGAGTTGTTTGTTTTTTTGATAAAAATATTTTTTTTGACACTTATCACTTCTGGCGACTAGACATTTTTCAAATAGCTTATTTGTTTTTTTGGAAGAAAAAGTATCATAGAAAGACTTTTTAACCATTTTCTCCAACAAGACTTAAAAATAACTCTTCAGACGGGCTAGACATTTTTTAATGTATGTTTTTTGGTAGACACCTACATTCTCTTTCCCTTTCATCGACGACTACATCCTTATTTCTCTCGCTCGCTGCCGCCGCCGACATTCCTTGTCGGCCTTTGCTCCATTGCCGCTTCTGTCGCTCCACGCCGCCGCATCTATCGCTACACTCCGCTTTGTTTCAATATGTTTTTCCCCTTTCTCTTTTAATCATTGTATTTTCCAAATAATTATTTTTTTTTCTGCTTTATTGATCAACCTTGCTTGTTGTCCTTGCTCCTGAATTTTTAGATATGAATATTGGTATTAACAAGTTTTACATATTGCTTTCATTTCCTCTTTCAGTCATAGTTTTCCTTAAAACCATATTGCTATACAATGTTGTATTTATGTGTTTTATGTAATTATGAACATAGGATTGATAGTTATGAATATTGTGTTTTCTCTTTTTCTTATTTAGTTCAATCTAATTGAAAAACAAACAATCTTTTGTATGAATACTTTTTGTATGAAAGCATAAAAAAGACTGTTGGTCCACATCTTCTAATCATGGTTGTCAAAATCGTGATCCTGATCGTATGATCGTACGATCCTATGTATGAAAAACGATCCGGATCGTATTTGGGGTAACATCGCAGATAAGATTGTAGGTAGGATTGTAGGAAGGATTGTAGGATCGAGATACGATCTGATCCTACCATCCATCGATTTTTTTTTTTCAAATATTTTTATTTTATTTATTTATTTTAAAATCATTTGATATTTTTTGCCCTTTATCAATTTACCATTTATCATTTTGTGTTGTGACTTTTGACTAATATTTTGAAGTTTTTATAACTTTTGAACGAAAAATTGAATGTTTGAAATATTTTTCATGATTAAAATTATAAATTATAATTATATATTATTTTGTGGGATCTTAGGATCCCGATCCTGATCTTACAAACCAAAAAATAATCCTATATGAAATTCCGATCTTGACAACCTTGCTTCTAACATTTTAACTACCGATCACTTCGATATAATCATGTGTCCCTTATCAAAAAAAACAATAAAACCTTTTTTTTGTGCTTTATAACCACCGTATGCATATCTGTGATTTCTAAGCTCCTAAATTACATAAAGAACAACTATATTATTTTGTAATTCAAAAAAGAAACCAAAAATAATTAAATTATCGACTTTTTGTTTGACTTTGGTTTAAATCTTGTAGTCGTACATCTTTCTCTTTGACTTGCACCTTGGACGCTTTCCTCCTTGCTTCTTTTAATTGGTTCCCAAGTCAAAAACTTGGTCAACAACAGCACCTCTCAAATTCACTAGTCAATTAATTAATATCATTTAGCCCAAAACTATAACTATTCTTTGTGGTCCAGATGATATTAGTTCTTATACCATAGCTTCCAAAAACATCGCTTTACATATCACATATATAGATGGCGAATATTTTTTATGCATAAATTAAAACCATACTATACCTTGTTTACATCAATTAATTTTTTTATATTAATAAGGGTAAAGAGACAACTTAAATAGAAGAGGGTTTTGAGCTGATAAATTTTTAATGGCTACAAATGTAATATATTATCTAATAATCATTATATATTTTTAAAAATTCAACCAAAAACACTAAGATACATAAAAAAATAAAAAATAAAAAATTTAACCATTGGACTATTATTTTCATTACGACATTAATGATTATCAATTTTACAAAAAAACATATATATGGTGATTATAAAATTTATGGACAATCCATGTTAATCATGAACATAATAAGAATAGTACAATCATATGATAATTATTTAATATTATCTTTTATAGCTAGTTGAATTATTTTGCCATAAAAACCATTGATTTAATCAGTTTGGTAAAGGCTTGTATTGAGGATAAAAAAAAAAAAGTTTTAAAAGCTTAATATATCAACACAAAATAGTGCAAATATATATTAAAAAAAAATATTATACTACAAATAATATTTGTATAACATTAATGTTAAAAACAATCTAGTTATTGAATAATATTTATCTATTAATGGTAACGATTTTTTATGTCATACACTTTTTCTTTATTATATCTTTTTGTCACTTATTTTGCCCATAAAATATGTAGACATAAAGGATTCCTTGTTTAAAAAAAAAAAAGAAAATCTCATTTAAACTTAGCCCTAATTTATAGGATTCTGTCAAATGGTTCTATGCACATCTAAAGTCTACACACTTCTTACGCTTCAAATTGTCATTCTTTAATAGTAAAGGGGTTAAAGTGTAAATAGTTACCCTATAAATATAAAAGTACAGCCCGCATTATCTTCAAAGGAGGCGAGTTTCACACGTATTGGGGTACATCGTTATCGCGATTTTGCCCTAATTTTGCACACGATCTTCTGGATTCTTTGAACACCATCAACGAATCTCCGATTGTTGAACTCCTCACAGGTGTTTCACAGAATTAACCGCTGAAAACCGAGATTTGCTTCGTGGTTGGAGAATTCGTGGATTATATATTATATATCCAGATTCGCGACTACTGGAAGGCAAATAGTTTATCTGAAAGTAGATCTGAGAAATTGGAAGCGAATCAATCGGCGTCTCGGAAGAATCAAGCACCGGAAGAGGTCGACGGCGAATAGAAGGACTACGGTAACTCGTTATCATCGGAGAGAATCGGTTCTTTTGGAGGCTTTAGCTCGTGAGATCCTTCGATTTTCTCATCACTATCGAAAGTCAAGTGTTCCTGTGGAGTTATATCTGATCGTAAGAATCTGGCGAACTGAAGAATCTACGCAAATAGTTCGAAACATCGAAGGACTGAGCGCGTGAAGATGTTTCAAGGATTTGATTGAAGCGTTTTGCAGATTGAAGCCGTTCCTTAGTCGGTTTGATCTTTTTTTCAGAGTTACTGAAGAGTGGAAAACGAAAAAAAAATAGAGAATCTTGGCTGTGGATTTTTGTACTGTTATTATATCTTTTTGTTTCGGTGTTCAATTCAGGCGTTTGATAATTTTCTTTTATATGAACGCCTTTATTGATACTACTAGTATTGCATTTTGTGCTTGTTCCTGATATATCTTTTTTTGAGGGAAAAGAAAAAGAATTTATATTAAATTATGGCAGTATATTACAAGTTCAAAAGTGCTAAAGATTATGACTCGATTCCAATCGATGGCCATTTTATAACGGTTGCCTCTCTGAAAGAAAAAATATATGAATCCAAGCAATTGGGCAGGGGCACTGATTATGATCTTGTGGTCACCAACGCCCAGACTAATGAAGGTGTGTTTTAAGTTCTAGACCTAGTCAGCCTCTTGTGTTCTTGAATAATTTCAATCTCTTAATATTCTATTCTAAAATCACACTGAATTTCAACCTTCATGTTTGCAACTTAAATGGCAACAAATATTTGTTCAAGAGTTGTCAAGTTTTGCTTTTCTATAATTAGGTTGATTGGATTGAACTTTGAAGAGGATTCACATTTCACATCAACTCAACTAGAAGATGACTAGAACTAGCTATTAATTATGTATTTATTTATGTTATATATAGTATGCAAAAATGGGTTGGCCTTTTGGGTACTACTGATGTGGATTGATCTATTTATAGTATTTCACAGAAGTGTTTCTGTTTTGAAATTTCAGAATATCTTGATGAAGACATGTTGATTCCAAAAAATACATCTGTTTTAATTCGTCGAATTCCTGGACAACCTCGCATGCCTATAGTTGCAGCACCAGTTTCTGAACAACCTGAGTACAGTTTCAAAACCTTAAATTTTTTTTTAAATCACTCATACTTGTCTTCTTAAAGATTTAGATACCTTATTTATATAAACCCTGCAAAAGCTTTCTACATGTTCAATCATTAATGGCCATAAATCAAGTTTTAGTTGAATTGTTTTATGATTTGAACTGCAGGCAAAAAATGGTTAATGAGCTGGAAGTTGTGCAATCTGCAAAGAGTAACTTTTCAGGAGCTGGACTTTCTTTTCCCAACTATGTAAGCCTTGTGTAGTTATAACTTATAATGTTTTAAAAACTTGTTCATGGATGAATGATGATAGATGATAACATAACACATTAATTTTTGTAGCTTGATGGATCAGAATATGATGAATTTGGAAATGATTTGTATGAAATTCCTGAAGTTATTCCAGTTGTTTCTAGCAACCAACTACAGGATGCTCCTGCTCCTAGTAAAGCTGATGAAGACAGCAAAATTCAGGCCTTAATTGATACACCAGCTTTGGATTGGCAGCAGTAAGTTTTAGTTTAGTCTCTTTTTTAATGATTTAATATTTTTATTTTTTGAAAAAGATGTTGACTTTATTGACTTTTCAGGCAAAATTTTGATGGGTTTGGTGGTGGTAGAGGCTTTGGGCGTGGAATGGGTGGTAGAATGGGTGGACGTGGTTTTGGTAAAATTATCTTTTACCTTCTTTATTTTCTTTATATGTTCATGTTTATTTATATAAACATATAACACTTTTGCTTTTGAAAACTGATTTGTTTTTCTTTTCTTTTAAATAAATTTTAGGTAGGGGTGGTGGTGGTGGTGGCTTTGAGCGGAAAACACCACCTCCAGGCTATGTATGCCACAGATGCAAAACCCCAGGTAGATTCATCATTCATACATCTTTTTTTTTTTTCTTCTTATTTCAATTGAGAAGCTAATAAGTAAGAAAACTGTTGAATTATATAAAATCTTTTTTACCAGGGCATTTTATTCAGCATTGTCCCACAAATGGTGATCCTAATTTTGATATAAAGAGAGTGAAACCTCCAACTGGTATTCCAAAATCCATGTTAATGGCTACTCCAGATGGCTCATATGCATTACCTAGTGGTGCTGTAGCAGTTTTGAAGCCAAATGAGTATGTTATTAGTTAATATATATATTTTTTTATTTAAATGAACTGTAGTTATATATTTGTGTTATATTAATAATGTTTGTTACAATAGGGCTGCTTTTGAGAAGGAGATTGAAGGGATGCCTTCTACAAGAACTGTTGGTGATCTTCCTCCAGAACTTCATTGCCCTTTGTGCAAAGATGTGATGAAAGATGCTGTTCTCACCAGCAAGTGCTGTTTCACCAGTTTCTGTGATAAATGTAAGTTTTTTTTTTAAAGCTGATGTGGCAAAATGAATTGGATTTTTTTTTTTTTATAAATATTTGATCCTGTTTATCTTGATCATACTATCAGGTATAAGAGATCAAATTATCTCCAAAGCAGTGTGTGTTTGTGGTGCAACGAATGTGCTTGCAGATGATCTTTTGCCTAATAAGACATTAAGGGATACAATAAACCGAATATTGGAGTCTAATAATAGCAGTGCTGAAAATGGTGGCAGTGCTTTTCATGTTCAAGGTATGTGAATATGTGATTAATTTACAAAAATGGTCCCCGTGTTTTCTGAGTTTTACCATGTTTAGTCCAAAGTTGAAACCTTTGACAATTTTGGTCCTTATACTAAGGTTCTTTATCGAATATGATGGTTAAAACCGACTTAAAACCTTGAAATGACCAAAATCAATATGAAACCTTGAAATAAGGACTAGAATGAAAAAAGTTTCAGTTTTGGACTAAACATGGTAAAATCAGAAAGAACAGGAACATACTCAATTTCTTGAAAAAGGTTTCAGTTTTTTAATCTGTATTTTTTGTTTTTCAGATATGGAGTCTGCTAGGTGTGCACCACCACCACAGCCGAAGATTCCATCACCTTCACGATCAGCCGCCTCCAAGGGGGAGCAAGCACCACCAGCACAGAACGGGGAGGCTACAAATATGCAGCAGGCGGAGGTGGCGGTGGCGGCAGAACATACTCCGGCAGCTGAGCCACCAGTCTCTGGGAAAGGAAAAGTGATGAAAGCTCCTGATGTATCTGAAGCTACGTATGATTCAAAGAGTATGATGGAACCGGCTTCACAGGGAAGTGCAAGACCTGTTGATGATGAAGTGCAGCAGCAGCAGAAGCAAGTTCCCGGTGAGGCAGGTAAATGGAATCTGTTTTTGGAAGGAATGGAATCTGTTAAAGGAATTGGAATATGCAAGAGTTGTAATATGTCATGTGTTAGGAAATGGAATGGAATGGAGTTCAATCCCATTCCTTTGCTATGATTGAGGCAATGAACAAACATGTTTGTGTTTTAAGTTGTATGATGGGCAATTTTGTCTTTTAATAAAAAAATAGAGAAATTTGTTCCTTAAACATGAATTTTGGTTCAAAATGGAATTTGAGATTCCAATTCCTTTGATTCCACTGGAATCCATGAAACCAAACACACCCTAATACTTTTCTAGGGATAAATGCAAGGGATAGATAGCAACTTCATTATTTTTGTGTATATATAATCCTTCTTTCATTTCCTTCTATTACAGCATTATACTTGTAATGTGCTCTAAAAAATAAAAAATCTACCCAATCATAACCTTTTGCTATGTCCTAATAAAAAAATAAAATGGAAATAGCAGATTGCTATTTCTTGCATTTAATCTATGGAGGTTTACCTTTTTTTGTTAATTTATTTTTCAGTATTATATATATTGGCTTACATTTTCCTTTCTTGTTTTCAGCAAAGAAGAAGAAAAAGAAGAAAGTTAACATGCCAAATGGTAGAATTCCAACTTCCAATCACTGTTATACCTTTTGTAGCATCTCATTTGTTCATATGGGCTCTTTTTTTTTTAAATTTATATTTTCAGCAGCAGAAATGCAGTGGAGGGCATCTCAGGAGTTTGCAGCTGAAAACTACATGATGCCGCCAGGTCCTTCCCCTTACAACCCTTACTGGAATGGGATGCAGCCTGTAATGGATGCATTTATGGGGCCATATGGTGGCGGCATGCCGCCATACATGGGTGGTGGTTATGGATTTGGGCCGATGGATGTCCCCTTTGGAGGCGGCATGTTCCCCCAGGACCCTTTTGGTGCATCAGGCCTTATGATGCCTCCTCCTTTTATCCCTCCACCTCAGAGGTAATTTCATAACAAGTTAGTAATTAGTAATTATATTTTTAAAATGGAAAATAAATAATAGAGAAATTAATTGTTTGATCTTACAGGGATCTTGCAGAGTTAGGGATGGGCATGAATGGTGGTGGGCCCCCCATTATGAGCCGAGAGGAATTTGAAGCCCGTAGAGCCGAATTAAAATGGAAACGTGATTTTGAGAAACGTGGCCCAAGTGGAAGGCAAGTTATCAAATCACCATTTAATATAACGAATTAATTATATTATAATAATATAATAATAATAGTTTTGAATTGTTGTTACTACAGCAGCAGGGAATTACAAAAAGAAAGGGATTTCAACAGAGAGCCACGTGGCCATGGCCATGGCCATGAGGATGCTCCTCCAATGAAGTCGAAATCGGTATATGAAGTTTTGGTCTTTTTATTTTTATTTTTATTTCCAACTTAATATTATTTCTTTATTCTAAACATATTTTAATGCTAATGATGATAATGTTCCAGAGACCAATTCCGCCGCCTAGCAGTGATGGTCACCACCGCCATAGATCCGACAGGCCGTCGCCGGACCGCCGCCATTCCCGTGACGACGGTCATGATGCACCTCCACATCCATCATCAAAGAGGAGATCTTCACGTGATCGCAATGATTACGAAGACCGCGACGACAGCCACCACAACCGGCACCATGACCACCAGTCACAGCCGCACAAGAGCCACCGCCGATCCGAATCATCATCCACCACCACCAGAAAGCCACCACAAGCACCACCAACATCAGATTCCAAATCGGCTGCACCAGCGGCACCCGTGGCGGCAGCCAGCAGTGGTGATCGGAAACATAAACCGAGTGTCTTCTCTCGCATCAGCTTCCCGGAAGAAGAAGCGGCTGCCGCCGCTGCGGCTGCAGCCGCCACAGGTTCCAAGAAACGGAAGGTCACGTCAAGTTCAACGGAAGCGCCACCTGGCGGATCCACGGCGGTGTCAAGGAAGAGTGGCAGCTCCGCCACCACCACCACCACCACCGCTACCGCCACCGTCGCCGCCATAGATTATGAGTCTAGTGATGATGACAGGCATTTTAAGAGGAGACCTGCGAGATATGAATCGTCTCCGGTGAGGGAACGGGAGAGGGATAGGGGACGGGAAAGGGAGCGGGAACGTGAGCGGGAACACTACAGCAAGCACAGGTAGCTAATGGCTTAATGTCAAGCTACTGTGCAATATGATTCATTTTAAGAATCTGAAGGAGGAGGATGTTATGTTTTTTTTTTTTTTTTTTTTTTTTTTTTTTTTCTTTCTTGATGTATTATGATATTTAACTTGATGGAAATAAGTAAAATATATTTTGGTCGTTTGTTGCTTTGTATTTTTGGGTTTTAGTAGTGATTGCTTTTGTTTCGTTTATGGTTTTATCACAAGTAAATAAACACGTATTTAAAAAAAAAATGAAGTCACAAAGTGAGCAAATTAGATTTAGAATATTTCTTTATGGCACAGGGGCTTGAGGCCTTTTAAAGTATATGACGTTATAATTGATGAAACATGTATTAGATTTGTCATCTGATATAAACCCGTTCTCGGTTGGTGAATTTGGTGGCAAGGAAGTTTATGTGTATCAAAGCATAATGGTCGTGTTAGGTTATCTTTCGGGTGGCAATGTTTTTTTGATTTAATCCCAATTCAATGTATCCCTTCTTCATTTTAGTCTTCATCACTTGATTTTTCTTATGGGTTTTCTTGATCGCTTCAATTTTCATCTTATGCCTTATGGATGCTGCAACATCTCGATAAAAGCAACATGAAAACTCAAATCCATCATTGTTGTTGAGTTGAAGCCATGTGTAAAAGAATTTCATCACAACCAAATCAATGGTAGACAAATCTAGTTTCATGAAATGCAAATTAAGCTCAAAAACAATAATCATATGCACCACCAATTGAAAAAAGAGGAAGTTTAGTTAGTTTAGCGAGGATGCAACTTACTTGATTTAGTTTAGTGAGGGTGTAACTTTTATTAAATTTGAGTGTGGTGTTTCTTGCTGTGCAATTGCTTAATTTGGGTTGAATGTCATTGTAATTCAATACTTTTAGTTATTGTATGGCATTGTTATTGTTGTTTCAATGTTATTCTAGTTATTGAAATTCTAGCTAATGAAATTGTTTTTTGCGAAGTTAATAAACAAAATATACAATGTAATATTCAATCTGAATATACTATACAAACATACAAAAAAAAAAAAAACATTTAATACACATGATATGTGCATATTTAGTTATATATTTTGTCTAATATCCTAATACTTTTTGGCTATTTTGTCTCAAATATTGAACAAAAGGTACTTAATTATGTTAAAATTATATTTTCAGCCTAAAGGACATGTTCGAGTTAAAAAAGAAGCAGGATTAGTGATCGGAAGTTCGGGAATTAAAGTTAGAAGAAATCAAGCTAAAAAGTTGAAGAACTCGGCGAGTACTAGCATGCTGTTCTAACATATCACATAATCCAATAACTGTATGGTATTTTGGGGTTTACTAATTGGCCCCGGTTGATCGTACACCTTGCATCCTCCTTCACTTATTTTGTAAACCTTTTGAAAATCTTTTCCTTGATTTGAGACTGGAGTCACACGAGTGTTCCTCAAATTCACTCAAACCAAAGCTCTGATACCAACTTGTAACACCTATAAAATTGAAGCCAATTTAAAACTTTTTAATGCATTTAAAAACCGTTAAGTTATTATAGTTTGGTTTCAAAATAGTTTAAACATCAGAGTATCCCTAGAATCAAATCATAAAACCCATGAAAATGAGGAGCTATACGATCACATCTTTGCCTTCCTGCGGTCATCTACTGCACCTGAAACAATAATCAATAAATGTAGGCTCGAAGGCTTAGTGAGTTACCCCCAAAATACCGATACACATACAGTCCAATAACACATGAACAAATAACATATCATAACAACTGAACAGTATGCAATGGGTCCACAACTTTACAAGCTGGATTACCCCTGGGCCCTCAGTACGAGTTTGGAATGCCTACCGGGCCCTCAGCTCGTATCTGGAATGCCATCGAGCCCTCAGTACGAGTCTGGAATGCTTACCGGGCCCTCAGCTCGTATCTGGAATGCTCCCGAGTCCTCAGTATGAGTCTGGAATGCCTACCAGGCCCTCAGCTCATATTTGGAATACTCTAGGGTTTGTTGGCTACCGCACGGAGCAGTACAACCTCAACCCATCCCACATAACATGTCGACATGTAACAAATAAAGGCACATACAGGCAAACAATCAGTATCACAAGCAATCCTACAGATCTACCTGACTAACATATCAACTGACACACATTACTAACTCAACTCAACATATCAATAACTACTAGGATATGAAATCCAATGGGCCGGCCTTGGTGCCTTAGACCCCTTAGTATAGTGAGGATAACTCCAGCTGCTGGTTGATAGATTCTCGCACTGTCAACATCAAACAATACCCAATTAATCATTGGGTTACAAGCCCAAGGTTCAACTCACACTATAAAAGCCCAATAGCCAAATGATGGGCTAAAGCCTAACATATGGCCTAACTTTCCAAATTGGGCCTAGACCTCTACATGGTCTTTCCTTAAGGCCCATCCAATTATCCCAATCCAATTCCCATGGCCCAATATCACATGATCATAAAGGCCCATTTATGGACCAATTTTCCAAATTGGGCCTAAGACTCTCACATGGGCCTTATCCTAAAACCCATATAATTATTTAGTCCATTTGCTGATTCTTGGAAGTCCATTAATAGTCCAATTACCAAAGCCCACTAGGAAGGCCCAATTCAAGGCCCAAGTGAAATTAGGGTTTCACATGAAATGACAATTAGGGTTAAGTGTTCCTACTTAACCCATTAAGGGCTTAATCCATTAAGGACTTAATCCATTAAGTCTATTATTGCCTTATATTAATTTACTAATGATTGAATTTAATATTTTAAGTTAATAATTAATTAATAGCTTAGGTTTATTAAATAATTCCTATGTGGTCCCGATAAATCCCAAAATTAGAGTTTCATGGCATTAGGGTTTTCCAAACCCTAATTTGGGCTTCCACTCAAATATTAGCCCATTAATCAAATAGTTGGGCCTCTTAGTCACTTTGGGCCTTATTGGGCTCATTAAGATTTTATTAAGTAAATTAGGGCTTTATTGGGCCCCAATAAGCCCACTAGAGTTTCATTAAGCCCATTAGGATTTCAAGCATCCCAACGAATCAATACCACAATGCAAAGCACACTGCCACCCGACACGACGGCCGGTGGCGGCAGGAGACGGCAGCCATCACCCTAGCGTGGTGGTTTTGATTTTTCTTTACATTATTCCGTTTGTTACAATTACAATACCATCCAAACACACACACACACACACTAATAACACACACACACACTAATAACACACACACACACACACCTAAAATACACAAAAACACACGCAACCACCTTAAGGCGGCCGACGGCGGTAGATGGTGGCAGCCACCACCCTACAGTGGTGGCTGTGGTGGTTTCTTCGGATCTCCGGCAGCCTCATCCCATCACAGTACACGAACACACATATCATGCCTGGGAAAATAAAACCAACACCCACTGAGGTGGGTGGCAAAGGCAGCAACACAAGAAGCTAGCAGCGACGACAATCATGGCGGCGGATGGCGTTGAACGAAACAACGGGCAGCAGCAGCGTAATCGGTATCAACAACACCCGTTAGGTGGTCATCCGACGGCGACAAGAGGTACCCGACTCAATGACCCTTCGGTTCCAGCATAGATGGCGGCGATGTAACAGTGGATGATCGAACCACACGTTGGTGTTCGGGTTCTCGACTTCTCTGACGGCAACTCACATATTCAGTCTCATCGTGAGACTCTTCATCGTTGACGAATGAAGAAGGAGAAGAGAAGGCAACGACAGCAAGCTTCGTTGACGGATGCTCAACAATGGCGGTGACTCAGCGTCTTCGATGTCGACAATGGACTGTCATGGTTTGCATCCTCGAGTTCGCTGGTGATGGATGAAACAGTGGTGGTCCTCAACGATACGGCTTCCGGCTTCGTCATCGGCGACAACAGTTGTTCAGTGGTTCACTGGAGTGCTACGGAAGCGACGCCGAAGGTGGATGAAGGAAGGGTGACGACTGGAGGGAGGTTGGAGGGAGAGTGGCGGCCGATACATGATATTAGGGTTAGGATTAGGCTACATGAGGGTTAGGAACAATTTATATGAAGGCCAAATAGGGTGACGGGTTCACCCGTATCCATCCTCCAACATATATACATATATTACACATTTAGTCCCCCCCTCAAAGAAAGCATTTCCGTTTAAGTCCCAAAACTTACTCCTTTAGTCTCTGCCTTTTAAAATCTTTTCACAATAAGAACACAAAGTTACCAATCATACCCTGGCTTCTGAAAATCTTTACAATTAGGTCCGAATTTACCAAACAACCCCTCCCTCTACATATCCTTTTCAATTTAAATCCAAATGATACCAAATAGTCCCTGACTTCTAAAATCCTTTGCAAAATAAATTTGGAAATTATACTTTAATCCCCGGAGATTCAAATCTTGTCATTTGGCTCCTCGAAACCAACAACCCACTAATTATTATTCGATCTTGGGCTATACTAGTATAAAATAATCATAATAATTACGTCCCGGGATTCCTGATTTATTATTTAGTTACTCCATTCAAACGGGATGTTACACTTATGTTTAGGGTAAATTAGCTTATTAATATGGTATGGATTAACTGATTTGGTGAAATTGTTTTGTTAAGCTTGTTAAAAACCCTTATGTGTTGACAATAATTGTTTTATGTTAATTATCAAGTCTATTAAGTTGCATGAACATCTTCTTAATTGCTTGTTTCATATGATTTTTGTGAAAACAATATTATATGCCTAATAATAGTGAATATGAACCTTTGATTAACTAGAAAATAAATAAGTTAATGTGTGAGTTTGTGTGATTAACAACCATATTGCTAAACGATAGATACATTGCCTTTTGTGTGTTTATTTGTGTATGAAGTAGTAAGATTAAAACTAGTGCATTTTACACACATCATGAATCAATATATTTATTAATAGCATAAAGACATGTGAATAACATGTAAAAAATAAAGATGAACGTCTACGAAACATTTCACCA